CATTTTCGGCTTTAGGGAACAAGATAAATGCATTTGCTGTGCCGGCATTGGAAAACGTGACTTACTAAGCTCACGAATTCGCCGCACCCCCCATTTCACGCATTTCTTTCGTCTGCAGTCGGACGGCTTAACAGTTACAAAAAAATCGACGTTTCGTTGTTGGTCGGCTTAAGTTTTTTTTATTGTTTTTCATCGTGTATATACATACTTACTCCGCGATGCTCTTGTTCCGACAATATTTGAAAATGCTTCCGACCCCGATGCCAATATTATATAAGCAGCATCATCCCTGCCCTCTTCCGCCCCACCATCGGAGAAACTAATATCGGTTATACTCGCGTTTCGACGTGGTTTTGATGGGCCTCCTAGACACTAGGAATCTTGTGTAATATCTCCAGAGGGTTGTCATTTTTATGGTCTTAGTTTTGTATATTATTATTAAATGTATATCTTGCGCTCTCTGTGTATTGACGTGGTATAATATCAACCGGCGAACAACGAGCCGATGATTGATAACAATACTGCAGTCGTCCGCATTCTACAGAAATGTCGAAGGAGAGAAGAAATCATTAACCGTGACGTAAGAATATAAAGGCGGGACGACAATGGATGAAGAAAATCTTTGGAAGCCCGTTTAAACGCTCGTAGAAGCCGGTTGGTTAGACGTATTGAAACGACAACGACTGGTGTACTTCAACCGTAATTAACCAGTTGTTGTTTTCCAAGATGATATTTTTTTTGTTCGATCCGAGATTTTTTGACACTTAAACAGTACATGGGAGGTAATTGCGCGCTCGAGTATCGCGCGTTTAATAGAGTTTAATCAATTAACTTCTCGCGGGCGTTTCCCCTCTCGGTTTCCGGACAAACCGTAATATTTATACGCCGACAAACGTTTCTTTATGTACACACTTTTCGGGCATGATTTATGTTATTTTTGGCCGCCGAATTCACCGCCGTAGTAGCTCTTTAAAACCACCAACCCCGTCCTTAAGATTCAAATAAACACGCGAAACCCATTAAGCCAATCAATGAGAAACTATACTACTTGGGCGTATTGACTTCACGCCCTTCTGCGCTGCTTGTGTACACTATTTATAATTGCCGTTATTTTATGTAGTTTCTCGGTCGATTACGCTCCACGGTAGCGCCTACCTCTGTTTGAGTGTATATTATTATAAATTATGATTTATGCATTTCCACTGAGTCTCGTACGCGTTACGGATTGCGTCGAAGAAACGATAGTATAATATTATCAATCGGGCTAGAAATTGATTTGGCTCTGTGATGTTGGTCTAATGTGGCAGCTGCAGATTAAACAGACTTAAACGGGAGAAATCGTACGGTAAACGCGGGTTATATAGAATTGGGACACGCCAGACATCTGATAGGAACATTTATAATGTACACTTCTATATTTTTTTAATCTCGACCGTGTATATAATATTGTGTGCCGAGACTCAATACTGCTGTGTAATTTTATACCATAGAGAAATTCACGTGTATCGCCGGCCCATAGGTTTGCAATAGTTATGTCGGTTAACCTATATATTATATATTTATTACTATTTATTGTAACGCCCAGAAGGCAAAAAGTTTGGAGAAAATGTAACAAATTATCTTACACAAAAAAAAAAACAGTATCAATTGAAAATACACGCTCTTCCTAATGTAATAGATTTTATGTAAAAAAAAACTGATTTCTTCTCGATTATAATAGCTAAATTATTTATTAACCTATGGTAGACTTTTTTATTGTATTAACTATAATTACTAATATTATACGATTAATACGTTTCCATTTCGGTAATCTGGCTATTGTCAAAATTGCATCGACCATGCAATATGCACTTGTTCAATTTTTTCTGTATCTTGGATATTACTCTTGACGGGAGAATTGTTGGGAAAAGGATAATTTTCATTTTATTTATTATTTCATTAGGACTATTATTTCTGTAATTTCATCATTCTATTAATGTTAACTTATTATTGTATAAACTAGTAAATGAGTGTAAAATTTCTGTTCAAAATCTATTAAATCTATTGCGTCTACTCGACGACTGGATTTGTCAAATGTTATTTGCAACGAATGTTTAATTATTGCAGTACTTGCCACATTTCATTTACACTCGAACAGTATTCCTGTACCTAATCCTATTACGGCTGGCACACGTTCATAAAACTAAAACGAACACATCAAAACAAAAAGACATTGCAGGTACCTACCGTCGAACGAGAGGATTATTTTAATGAACTCCTCCGAGTCATTTCGAACGCCGTGTTTTTCTTCAGGTGTCCCATTAAAACCAGTTTTCACTTCGCCGATTTTAATGATGGTGCGCAAAATCTTATCGGGGTGGGGTGACGGTGGCCGGCAATTTATGGCTTTTAACTGACAACCAATGATAAAACAGAAATAAGAGTTCCTCGCCCTGCAACCGCTTTGTCGAGATAGGTTATTTACACCTGAAAAACGTTATACGCTGAACCTTCCTTTCTTCCTACCTTCCCGTCACAAATTAAAACCATTATGTGCAAAGAGTATAGTCAAATAATTGTAAAAACAAAAGACCGAAGAAAAAATTATACAAATAATAGCGATCGGTGCCTATCACACGTTTTTTTTACATTTGAAAATACATAATGTGTAATAGATAGTATCAACTCTCAAAAATATTATAGAAATCTGCTACAAAAAAAAAAAAATTAAACGACGATCGAGTAATAAATTGAAACTAAGCAGCTGATCGGATAGTTAGCTATTTCTATTTTGTCTTTCAATGAATATTAAATTGCAATCAGCAATACCGACCGAGCAATTGATTGCAATCAGCAAAAAGAGGATAGCGAGAATTATCGAATGGGACTGTTGGGAACTTCAAGTCATTACTCTTCTGTGGTAAAGTCGTCGAAATCTAACTCAATCCGAGTTTACCACAATATTGAATACAAACGAGTGCCGCCGGCGAATAGCATACATTCCAAATAGGACTAGGGGCATTTACTTAAAAGTGGGCTAATTTTGTTTTGTTCACGTCACTTTCATTTGAATGAATTGTAGTTTAAAAATCCACAGGTGGTAGACGCAAATAGTTGTGAATTTCGTAGTTTTCTGACGGCTGTAAAATCGGTATCGCCTAGAATAACAATGTTATCATCAATAAAAAGAGATACAAACAATGTTGACTCTGTTAAAGCGCTATGTTCGCGTGCAACGTCTACACTGTTGCTTCAGCGTTTAGCTGCTGACGGACTTCCGGTGTCGGTCCAAAAAAAAAAAAAGTCCAACCACACGGTATAGGTGTACTTGATGACTTTGCTTAAGCCGTTTAGTCAGATATCTTAAAAGCCCAGCTCTCTCGCCGTGAGCCGTTAAGCGATATCGTCCTGCGTTTTGCTGTATCGGTTTACGTGTAGCGGGCTCGCTTTTTCCACTCTCTTATCCCGTCAATCTCCACGGATGATCGAGTCCGTTCAAGGATGTTACGGCGATCTTGGCGTGTCGTCCTCGCGTGCGATTCGCCATATAACATAACCCGCATGTATAATATAATATGTGTATTGCGCCGCACATACACGTGTGTAAGCGTATCGTATCCGTAAAATCTCAATAGCGTGGCGGGAAATTCTATCGATACGATGGTATGCAAGTGAAGTAGAGGAGAGATAAATTGGAGAAAAAAAAAACCGAGCAATTTTGTAAACAATACGTACGTTTCATCACGTCATATGTGTCCTCCCAGATAAGCCTATAAATAAAACGGTCCTGTATCGTCGCAGCAACAGTAGTTTTGTGTGCGCTTCCCCGTGCATCGCGTCCGTCCGTTGGTCGAGCTTGTTTTGTTCTCGCCTGCTGTTTCCTTTTATATAGGAAAAAGCTCTTTTAAGTGTACAATTTACGACTAGCTCGTCCCCCCGTCCGTTGCCGTCGACATGTCGTCCGAAAATCTTCTGAGCATCGTGGCTTTGCCCAAGGTACGGATAAAATACTGACAACATTTATTATATGTTTTTTTTCCAGCTTCTTCGCCCCTTTGCCGAGACAATCCGGTCGTCCCGTTATCGCTTACGTTTTGCAATAACTCAATAGAATAGAACGTAAACGTTTTCTGTTTTCCTCCCATTTATTGTTCTGTTAGAATCATCGACGATTGATTGTGTGTTTGTCGAAAGACTTTTCCACTCATGTAAAAAAAATATATATATTGAAATAATTCTTTAGTTAAGAGCAATGGAGTAGAAGTATAGCCGACTTTGTATTTATTTCCACAGTCTGGTTAATCATAATAGTTGCCAGAATAAAATATGTTTTGCCAGTCCGATTCGCACACGACGTTTGATTGACACCGTGTACAAATTCGCCGGCCAATCATTGTGGTGCTCAACACGTGGTAGTTAGGTAGACCTCGTACTGTTTATTCCAGCGATACTTTTAGTGTATGATTAATGAATAATTTTTTTTCCCTGACAAAGACCGACCGACGGTAATCTTAGTCACACGATTGAGTGTTTCGTTTTTCAACATTTAAATCGCTGTATTGATTGTGTTCTCCGTTTTTTGTCCGACGGCACTTTAAATGACATTTACAACAGCCCTTAACGAGTACAAAATAGATTCGAATAAAATTTTAAAAAAGCCAAATGTTAACCATTGTTGTCGAATGTCTACCGGCTTATTGGTCGGTTCCCGTGGGGGCAAGTTGATTAATGGTGTATATGATATATATATATGTACTCTGCTTAGCCATTGCTGACCCCTTGGCGGCGGTCACAAGACGTGTATTGTATCGGGTTAATTGAACGTAATTCGATCATTGTGTGCGCGTATAAAACGTGATCGCCTATCCCATGCCCTCTTGTACACAGTGTGTGTGTGTGTCTCGCCACGAAGATTGTTGGCCGTTTTTTTTTTTTAACCTTACCCACATCGAATTCATAATTTTTCACACACCCCATTGTGTGTTAATAAAATAATAACCACTGTTTTACTTTCATTTCAGGTGGCCGAGGAAGAGTTTGTTAAAGAAGTGGCAACTAAACCCCAAACGGAAGCAGCCGATCCTGCCGTCGAAGCCCCAAAAGCCGAGGAAACCGCTGCCGCCGAGAAACAGCCAGAAGTAAAAAATAATTGCTTTTCAATTTAAAATATATTTATATATATGTATACTAATTCGATGCTTTTTTAATAATTCAGGCCGCGCCAGCCACTGAAGTGCCACCCCCGTTGCCCAGCAGCCCGCCACCGGTAGAAGCTGTTGTTGTTGCGCCGACACCGACCATCGTCGAAACTCCTGCCCCGGCACAGCCCGAAGAACCTGAAGTAGCAGCACCACAACCCGAACAAACCGAGGTAAATTTCAATGAGGTTTTTTGATTTTCCTATGATATTTTTTACTACATTAAATACTATGCTTTCAGGACGACACAGTCGGAGGTGGAGAAGGATTAGCCGAACCGCCAGAGGGTTTAAACACATCCGATATCGAAAAGGAAGTTGCTGAAGTGCCTTTAGTAAATGGCAATCATGTAGAAATTGAAAAATCCGAACCATCGTCTCCAAATGTAATTACAAAAATCCTAGATCTCTTAAATGTATGTGTGTGTTTTAATGTTGATTAACAATGCGTTCTAGGTCGACTCCGTTACCGAAAAAATTGAAGCCATTAAGCTTTCCAACGCAGCTGATATTAGTGACATCCCCAATGAAATTTCAAACGTAAGTTTTATAGTTTAAATATATCATGTTAAAACATTGTTAAATATATATATATATATATATTTTTTTTTAACTCTATTAACATTAGATGTGTATATAATAATACAAAAATTAATGTTTTTGTTCAAACTAGTAATTTGAATTCGCTTTTTACAGAACAAATTTTGTGATTTATATCTTATTATAATATAATATATACTTGTTATAAAAAATTAACTTTATTTTTTATTTTTTTTTTTATATAGAATGTCAACGGAGTGAGTGATGAAGTAGCTGTCACAAATGGTGATAATGGTCACGACTAAATACGGTTTAATATTACAATTTTTCTTAATCCACTGAACTTATCGTTGACATCAGTTATCGAAAAACTACATAATGTTATTGCCTACTACTTGATGTGAAAAAAAATTTTATTTTATAATTTCTCTTATTATTTTTTTTTACCTATCAACATAAAACAAAAACACATCTCCAATTTACGAAATGTGTATTCTCTTGCAAATTATTTTTATAATTAAATGTTTTGTGAACAGAAACAAAAAGCAAACAAATTTCCATTACAAAACACATATTTTGTACAATTTTTTTTAATAGGCTGTTTATAAATATAAATATATTTTTTTTTTTATTATTATTATTATTATTAATTATTATCATTATTTATTATTATTGTCTTAGATTTTATACATAAATGAAAAAAGCAAAAAATATATATATGTATAATAATAATGCTTAAATATTACACCATAATTATTTCATGAAAACGAAAGTTTTTTTGCTCCATTTGATATAACTAAACGCTCAAATTTTTTTTATAACAAACTAATTTCCGGACCAATTAAAATACGTTAATTTTAATTTTATATACACTATATTTACTCGGAACAAATTTTTTACACAAAAGTGATCAAATTTTCTACATTATATAGATTATTCGTAAATATATATATAAACATTTTAGCATGTAATTGTATTTATTTTAATTTTAAAATATTTATAAAACGTTAAAAGTAAAAAAAAAATTTAAAAACCACAATATTTTGTTTTGACTTATTTCTGGCCCAAAAATTAAAAAAAAAAATTGTTGTGAGTTTATAGTAAGTTATATTTTCGGTATAAAGTCCAAAGCGCAAAACGAATTATCGTGTGCACAATGATGATGATGATGATAATACATTCCACAGTTCATTATTTCGATAACTTTCCTAGGCGGCTTCTCACTGTATATTATTTATTATTACTATTATTATTATTATTACTACAATAACAAAATATATTACATTATATATTTACTGTAAGTGTATAGTTACTTCCAAACTTTTTTTTAAAAAAATTAAGTGTAATATTTTTAAATTCGCTTATAATACATTATATTATTATTATTATACATTTATGTATAATGCTAAAAACAAACAACGTAAAACACGTTCTGAGTTGTGTTGATGATACTCCAGGGTTTTCAGCTATTATGATGCACCCGTAGTTAAGTCTACAATCTTTTAGCTGAAAATCCTCTTTATATTTATACTCGTATAAGATAGTTTGTAATTTTATATAATTTTTTACAAAAAATATAAAAGAAAAAGTAAAATATTGTTTGCTGTTATCTCAAATAATTAGGTATAGCAATCTAATATGTTTGTTTTTTTTTTATCGTAAAAAAAAAATATTTTGATAATAACTGGTGGAAAATTTAGCGTTGTTAATTTTTTTTAGCTCAAGCCTAATTATCGGTGTATAAAAAAAATATATATTGTAAATGTTAGCTTTTTTAGATTGTTCTTTTTATTTAATTTATATATTTTTTTTTTACTTCAAAATTTTATTTCGTTCATATTTTTTGTATGCATTATCTAAAAAAAAAAAAGTCGTGTATATTTATTCCTAATACAACAATAAACAAGTTTTAGCGATTATGTCAACTATATATAAAATTATACACATAAATATACATATATATATATAAATATAATAATATATATATATATATATATATTATAAATATATAGTAATAAGTCTTGTATGTGTCGTTTTTTTGTGAAGAACGTCACTGTACGTGTGAATGATCATTTATCATTTTATGTTGTTTTATGATAAATTATTGATATTGATAATTTTTAATGCTATTATGCAAGCCATCTTCATTGTAGATTTAGAATATTATTTTTCTCTACTAGCCTATGTATATGAAATTTTTTTTTCTTTCATGATAAATTACTTAATTTAAATACGATGGTTGTTTTTTTTTTTACCTCACACCATATCTTATTTTATAAACTTTTTCACTCATAGCTGATATTTACTGAGGTACTTGCAAATAAAAGTCAATGGATCGATTTGTTGTTGGTCAAATCGCACTTCAATAGTGTTGGGAATAACGTAATATGTATTTCATCAATGAGCAAAAGTAAACTTACACGGATTATGTCCGATGGCAGGGCTGCAAGATGTTTTAATCATATTATGTTGATTAGTACTTATAACATTGGCACACAAATTATAAATTACGAAAAGTACAGTATATCAAGATGAATAATAATTAAGTCTTACCGTAATGTCTTTTGCGATAGTTATTTATTAAAATCTGTGCACAAGCTATACAACTTAAGAGGGCGTCGCACTGGTGATTTTTCAGTGGTAAAAACATGTTTAAGCAGAATGAAAATAACTCGCTTCATTTTGGTTTTAGAGTAAAAGCACCTATTATAAAATTAAAAGACAACAATATTCCGGAGGGCAAGACGGTGCGTTTTTTTCATTATTTTAAGTATAACGCTCAATACATAGTTTAGAAATAACGACTATTTTAAGATTTTTAAATGATTGTAACTATTGTAACTTTTCAAAAAAATAATTTTTTTTAAAAAACGCACAGTCTTGTCCTCCGGAATATTGTTGTCTTTTAATTTTATAATGGATGCTTTTACTCTAAAACCAAAATTAAGCGAGTTATTTTCAGTCTGCTTAAACATGTAGAGATGAAAAACCATTTTTAAATCGCTTTCAAGGATGCTGTGGTAGTCCAAAAAATAAATTAACTACCAAAATAGAGTCCTAGTTATTGAACTAATAATTACACATTACAGTTTAACCTTTAAATTAAGATTTTGTAAAAAATTGCCTATACTTTACTCCTTAAAAATGGGCGGTGCGACGCCCTCTTAAAAATAATTATAATAACTATTTGATTTGCTAATTAAAAACATAATTCAAATGAGTTTTATTTTAATAATTATTTGTAATTATATAAAAAAAACGTTGAGATTTGATAATTAGTAAATTTTTTATTCTCGTATTAGTTACACTTGTTACATAATTATTTAAAAATTCTAAAATATTACCAAAAAACCATTAACAATTCTCCTTTTATAATTCACAAGCGTATGCTAGACTTTTAACATCTCCAATATTATTATTTCAGCTAATTAATGTTTACCAATTGAAAAATCCAATTGTATATTACATAAAACTATAATCGTTTGACTAAGTTTTAGTTGTTCAGCATACTTTGTAAAGTCGTAGACCGTCGTAGTGCTTATATAATAAATAACATAACATTATGTTTAAAAGTATACCCAATGTATGCTTTTTAATGATTTGAAACAAAATAATTTTAATGAATTTAATTTATTTATATGCGATTATTTTATAAATAATACATCATTTGTATTACTGCATAATGTAGTTCATTCATTCAGCCTCTCAAAATAAGAGTTTTGGCCAAACCGGCGAAGCTGTCAAGATAGTATTTGCGTGACCTGTAACCACTAAGTGTTTACTTTGCCCTATGCTCTTAACGGTGTATACCTACTCTGACAAGTATTGACTAAAGCGGTTATTGTTGTTGGTTTTATTAAAAACGACAATCATTATTATCAGAACAATGCCAAACTTTCAAGAATCAACGACGTTGAAAAAGTACACTGAAGGATACGCCTATTTTGTTTTAGTTTTTATATTTTATACCTTCAAACAAATAAATAAGCATTATTATGTTTTACACAATTTCTTCGCCTTTGTCATAATAATAAAGTTTGAACTAAAAAACAAACCTAAATAAACTATAAAATACACCAATTTAGGCATCATGACTAGTTTTGCATATAGATAATAAATATATGATGCAATAATGTCAAATATAATTACAAACCGTTTTTAACCAATTGAAATTTTACTCCACGTTAACCAACTTCTAGTTCTATTAACTCCTAGGTAATAAAACGTTATTATTAATGTATGGGTAATATATAGTGATTAGGCAATGTGTTAAACAATGTAGGTGTATATGTTCGATGGCCGTTTATTTTCTTTTTAATTTTCTCTTTATTTCTACCACACATATATATATATATATATATATATATAATAACGTATAGTGGATCACTATCATTTCCAATTTGTGAAATTACAAACCCGTTGTTGTTATTATTAACATTATACAAGATAATGTAATAATATAATGATTGATCACATAATAGATCAGGTACGGATCCATCCTACATCAACGGGAAGGGCGGATTAAAAAGTATATTTTTTTATTTAGATACACAATTTATTTTTACCTGTATAAATAAAGTAAATAAGTAGGAAATTCTATGATACGACGAACTGGGGAGCGGCCACTCCAGCTGGCTATTTTTCTTTTTTAGTGGTTAATAAACTGATATTATTATCGTTAGTACTAAACCACGAACAGTAAATAGCTGACATAAATGCTTAGTGCAGTATTGTAATGTTCCATCAGTATAGGTACAATACATTTTTTACAGTTCATCTTCATACATTGTCAGTGGTATCTAACGTAATATGAACTAATTGAGATTTAGACAATTTTGCCAAAACATCAGTACAAACTCTATGCAAATTGTTTTTAATGGGTATTTTGTAAAAAATAATAAAAGCACTTGGCGTTTGCTATAAAAAAACGCGCACCTAACCTAACCTAACTCTATATTTGTTCTTTACTTGGCGATTGCTACGATAACTACTAAATCGCTACCATCAACTTACCTAAGTTCATTGAAAATATTATACCCTAACCTAACTACCAATGTTTTGCTATAAAAACTTACTTTATAGTTGAAATAATTTTTGCAATAATAATATTTGTATAATCTAGTAACTATAATAGATATTTTATTTTAATACAATTATAAAAGTATTTTTTTACGATATCGGGAACCACTGACACTGGTACCCATTGGCACTCAACATAGGGATGCAAATCTTACACAAAATTTGGTTCTACCTAGCTTCAGGATCCACATAGTATGCGCCGAACTCACAGTTTCAAAATTTTTCAAATATAATGCTGTTCCTAAAAAAAAATGTGTTTATGGGTCTGAAAACATATCAGTCTACATAGGTAAGGCAGGTATAATAGACAACTCTTTTGATCTCTGTAAAACGGCCTATATTAACTATTACAAATTATATTCAATTTTTCTGGTTAATAGATTTTATACATTTAATATCGATATTTTTTAGTACCGTTTCTGTGTGTTGCAAAATCACCAGTTGTAAGGTTTAAGATAGTAAGTTAGTTAAGGTCTGTTTAAAAAAGCCTGACTACATTTCGACTACTACTTAGGGTGGTACGATTTCAATTCTGTAAAGAGATACGAGTTAGCTGGCTACTTTATTAAGTTATGTCAGAAACATTGAACTGAATTTTTTAAATGAAAATTGGTTTGCTACATAACCTATTAAATAAGTGAACTCGAGTCTCTTTACAAAATTGAAATCTGATCATTCTAAGTAGGCGTAATTTTGCATCAAGCTTTTAGGTATAAGATAAACCAAATTGGCTTTTGCTCGTAGAAAAATTGTATAAATTAAAAATAACACCTTAAAACTTGTACAAAATATTAACCGGAAAATTAATAGATATGGTAAAAATTTAGTAAAACCCTTTTTTTCCTTAAATATTATTGTCCATTTAAAACTCCTTAAAAACCGCCCGCTCCAATGCCCTGATTATTTTGCTGTGTTGAAATAAAATAATTTTACACCTTTTTTTGTGTTTGGGCATTTTTTCCAGAATATGTTAGTACTAGCCCAATTTTGTACCACATGTGCCAATACACAACTCACAAACTAGAAAGCTACACCGTCCATATAGATGCCAATATTGACCAACATAAAGAATTCATATTTTAATCTTTAGTAACAGGCCGGCAATGTGTTCACTGTGCATTATTGATCGTCACAGACTCGTAGAGTTAGATGCATTTGTTTCATTTTTTTTCCCCAGTACATTCTGATATTCTTAAAAGTGATGTTTTACAAGAGTCCAAGTAGATCTGCCGGCGGCGTACACAGCTACTATTATATCCCGTTAAAATATACCTATTCAAACACGGTCGCGTGCATAAAATTACTATCGCAACTACACAGCGACGGTGGTTCCGAAGGGGTATAGGTTGTAAAACATGTAAACCCTATTCGGATAAAAAGTCTAATAAATTTCAGTAGCATCCACTCGTGTGTATGTTTTTTTGTGACATACAAACAGAATGCGCGCAGATTTTTTTCTCGTTGTTTGCATTCTTTTTGTTATTTACAATGTTTTTTTTTCTTCTGTAAACGCGAATTCGTCTGCTCTTCTTGTTTTTTCTTTGACCCACAGTGGATCATCCACTGTTGGTCTATGTAAAATTAATACCCACTGTAATAATATAGTAGACTATTTTTCCACGAGTACAAGTAATTAAACAAATATTGTATCGTGCACGTGCGAACAACACACAATTATATACATTGTGTGTACATGAAAAGTTGAAGTACAAATATTTTATTATGAATCAATAACGGTACAACAATGTATAAATTGTCGTTGTCAATGTTTATTTTCAAAAAAAAACTTGTATTTTTACGTTACTTTTGAAATTAATACCGTGTAATCCGGTAGTACATACAAAAATGTATACGTTTTCTCTCATTCTCGTCACTCTCTCGCAGTTCACTATATACCTCTTAAAGGCTAATGCTAAATGTTAAGACATCTACTTTATGTTAAGAGTTTTAATACCTAGTATACATACAGGCCACGGCGCTTGCAGACAATTAAATGCTGCCGACCCGTGTGTAAAATGTAAATTCCTAATTGGCTCCACTATGGTAACTACATAAATCTGCTCATCCTCTTGTTTTCCCAATACCGAAACAAAGTAACGCTAAGAATAATGATAAACATTAGAACAAATTGCGTAGTTCTTAATATGATAATAAACGATTTGTGTTTTAATTGCTTACAAAGTTTTCTCAACTTATATGTAGGTAATACAAAGACACGAGACAACTATGCTGCGATCGGCTGTAAAAGGGCCAACACATTTTAATCTGATGTTATACATAAGACCTGACGTTATTTTTGGCAATGGTACATCAGTCGGGCTGTTTTTTTATAGATGCTGTTAAAGTAGTTATCACACCATCTGATACATTTTCAACTGATAGGTCCTGAATACTGTAATATTAAATACATTATATTATGTATTTTGTTGTGGTTACAAAAATAAAGTAATGTAGTATTTATGCTGTTGTAAAATTATTGTTTTCAAACACGAGTTTTTTTTTTGTTGACTTTATTATATATCATGGCGTTTGGTACTGAATGAATTGTTATTGTTTTTTGTAGAGTCTACGTACAAATAAATCGGTCAGGTAATGTTATCATTCAAAAAAAAATAGTTTAAATATGAACGCTAATATAAACAATTTAGTGGTGAAAATGTAAATTGTTGACCACGCTACTTTATGCGTTTCTTATATTTTTGAAAAAAAACTACAATGGCCTTTAAATTTATTCTGAACCAAATAAAAATAAGTCTATTGAATGTTTAAACGATATCCGTATGCATGACAATTGAAAGACATGAATGGAACAAAAAAATAAATATGCACATTTTTTTTGTGTTTTCCTAATTTTGAAGCGAAATGGGTGATTTTTTAATTGTTGACCCAATTCAAGTACCTTTCAGATTCCTGATCTAAAGAGTGGCTACACGAAGAAATCGGTCCAGCGGTTTAAAAGATATTGTGGGTCCAGACACGGAAATAAAAACACATTGTAAAAACAATACCTTCTCCGCATCGAAGCTAAAACACCTACCTGCAAATAATGTAATGTTAAAATGGTAATTATAAATGTGAGTAATAATTTTAACTATAATACATGGGCAATTTTATCAAATCATATTTGAAGTTTGTATGTAGTTTTTTTTGTTTCATTGCTTGTTTTTCTCATATAATTATTATTGGTCATGGAATTTAAAATTTAGACTGTTAATTTACTCGAAGTTATAACAGCACAATATAATGTAAACAACAATTACCTATTCACTCATAATCCGCAAATAGAGTTATTCCCAAATGGAAACTAGCAGAATTATTCATGTAGCGCATAACTCGTCTGAAATATTAGGATGTTATGTGCTTCATGCTTGTGTTTTAGCTATTAACTTTGGGTATTAAACTACACTATAATAACAGATAATTGTAATACATACTATTATATGTAATCCACAATAATTAACTAGTAAATTTAATGTTTTATTTCAATATTATTATATTAACATGTTAAACGTTACTTACATGTAAAAAAAAACCTTATTCCCCGGGGTTAGTCCTATCAGCTCTCAACTTCATTTGCGCTCAGTTGGCTGGGTTCTATCATTGCGGATATAGTCTTCCACTTCATGTAAATTCTATTTATTTTAAATATGCTCTTCAAAGATCAATCTGGCGGTTAAGAAGGTATCGTTGTACAACCAATGCCGCCTTCTAAGCTCCGCATCGAAGCCAAAAGTATTTATCGATGTGAGTTTAGGTATAGAAGTGTGAAAAACGGACAGCAAAATATAATAGCTGAAAAGTTGTTCGCGTTAGGGCGCCAGTAAGCGCCACTGTATTCGTCTGGTAGCATCCCTGTATTGTCCTTTGATGATAATGCGCATGCTTTTTGTCAGGCCTAAGTCCAACGAGTCGCTCACACGTGGACTGAAAACGGTTAGTCGCCAACGCTGTCTCGGTGCATTTGTGCTGTCGTTTCGTGGTCTATTTAACGTTCATCTCTTTATCACACTCTAGCACATTATTCATCAGGTATGTTCTAAATTTATTAATGTAATAATATTGAAATTAAGAATTCGAGAAAATCAATCATTACAATAGATTTTTTTGCAATTTTTGCGTTTTGTAAAAAAAAGGTTTACATACCAGCTATCAATCCAATATTAGTTATCAATTAAAAAATATTGTTTTTAACAGTAAAAATCCCACCGATAGTGACAATTCATTGTGGACATTTTTTGGGAAAAATCTATAAAACTTTACATTTTTCAATTAAATTCACTAATTCAAGGAAAATAATTTGGGTAACACGATAGATTTTATTTACAATTGAAATTTGTTTTCAAAATTGACGGAACTCTTATGGGATGTTATGAGTAAAATATATACTGAAACTATTTAGACCTCTGGTCTTAAAAATTAACGTTAAAAAATATGTCCGTCCTCTAATAAGTCACACAAATTGAATTCTACATAATTTTTTAAACTTTCATTTACTAATAATTGGTTGTCCGAAGGTTCATACAATATTACTGCCTATAATTGGTTCTTATCAATACATACTCATCGTGATATGGCTTCTGACGTTAAAATGCTTAAAACATGTTATACGAATATTGCCTATTTCACAGGCCTTTGTTTGGCAATTGCGGCGGAATGGATTTTTTAAATGAAATTTCGATTGATAAACCTATAAAATTAAATTTACAATACCGGCGTATTCCAATATAATATAATTGGATGTAAATATCTATTATGTTTAATATAAAGTTACCAATTAATTGGGTAATTATTGTAATTATTTTGTTACAAGAATGGGCGTTTTACCTAATTAAGCTATTTTTTTTTTTTTTTTTGAAATACCATTTAGATAAAATTATATAATTTATGGACACTTGATAGGCTAATAAAAAATATTAGTTCAATGGACACAAAGTTGTTCACAGTTGCATATGCCATTATAGAATTATTATAATAAATTATTCCGCTTTACATCCATCTTTAAAAACTAGTCCAACCTACACGCCCCCAATACAGTTTCCATTTCTTCATTAGTACATTGTTTTTTATACTCCTTTTTCTTCCCCGTAGTTCTTAGGCATGTAAGCTAAACTTATAACTGGATGTTAAACTATACAGTGAACGTGTTCGCTACACGCATAAAATATTTATTAAAAAATGTGTTTTTAACCTTATCTTTTTATTAAAGAAAAAAAAAACAGTAACAACGCCTTATACTTAATAAAATTCAAATTCAAAGTATAATGTTTATATTTTTTATTTTCTGCTGATTTGCATAGCTGAGTGATTTTTAATAATCTTACAAATAAATTATATCTTGAAATATGCTAATGTTTTAGCGTACATATTAACTTTCCCATACGCAATTATACCGTATTGAAAACTATGTTATTGAATTACATATTAAGGTATTACTGCATACAATTACATATCATTTTGTGCAAATAAGTACATCGATAATAGGTATAATATAATGTATATTTTATATAATATATTGGTAATGTAACAAGTTTCTAAATTTTAACAGAGGAAAATGTAAAAACGGACACATGAAATGTGTACCAAAGTGTTAGTTTATCAGTAGGTATACTATATACCTAGTGGAAAACAAAAAGAATAATATACTCAAGTTAATTTTGATTGCATATATATGTTAAACATAATTATCTATAGAAAATTAAATCTGTATTAATACTATTATAATACTTGAAAAGAACTATCGTTAAAATATGTTTAAAAAAAAACACTATTTTATCCATATAATTAAATAATAATAATAATAATTTAATTTAAAATTACTTCGTCGAGTTCTTCAAATTCATGAAAAAAATTAGGTACATAGTTGGATCAACTAAAATTATGTTTAATACAAGACACAATAAGTTTATAGCCGGAATAACTTAATAAATAGTTCGACAAACTAAATGTTTTTAGTTAAAGCAACTATTTATTTAGTTATTCCATCAACACATTTATTGTACCCACAATCTAATATGTAAACCATAATTTTAGTTGGTACAACTATGTATTTTTTTCACTTGTTGTTTACAAGTTTTTTTTATTTATATACCCGCCGTCGTGATCTAGTTTTCCTAATCTAATTGGTTAATATAAAGAAATCCATAAACTCATGGTTTTTCATATTTCTACTTGTCACCAATGCATGAGTTTTTTTAAGTTTTTTTTTAATCCGTTATTTTTTAACAATTCACGAGCTGCTTTTATTTGACCACGTGACTCAGTTGTTATCCGATATGATTGAAATTTGTAATGTATGTCCTTTAACAATTTTTTTTAAGGGTTCATAAACCTCTTTTATAACATAGTTTTCTCTGTTGGCGTCAACTGATTTCGTCGTCCATACGCAGTTCTAATTAATACGTAAATAACCTAATTTTCGATAGCATTGACAATGTAGGCGGTACCTATTTGTAATAAAGTGTTTTTATTTTGTTGACATTGTTCCACTACGGTTTATAACCGTTAATTTTCAGTATTAACTGCAGATTTAGGTAATACTAAGGACATTATGCTGTATGGATAGAATTTAATTGGGACATAAACTTAGTATTTAATACTAAAAGTATGAGTTCTCTCAGTAAGTTTGACAATAATGTATAAAACGGTGTCTTTGTTGGAGGTATACTCATACAGCTTACTAGTACATCCTACTTTATTAATATAGCATGCACCAGGAAATAAATGATTCTCATTAAGTTGGTTTTGGCTTTTGTCATATCTCATAAAGCTCTTTCATTAGAACTCCCGACTATGCGAAGTTTGCCAATGTCTATTGATGGTACATTACGTAGAAATCCGCCCAGTATAACATAGACATTAAATGAGAACATATTATTCTCTTTTCCACTTCAACTTTTACAATTAATGACAAATAAATACATGTTGTCAAGAAGAAAGTTTACATATGCGTCCGTAATGGTGTCGTGCAAATAAATCCAAGTACAAAAATATCCTGGCGCAAAACTGTCCAAAATGATTTGATTAACATTTGGTTTAAAATGAATATTTCCAGTGTTAAAGTACGTTATTGAAATAGGTATTGGTTTTACAGTTAGGTTTTTTTTTTTGTGGAGGATGTCAAACTTTAAGAATGTTCACAATTCCATTGGCGTCGCGTCGCCTTAAAAAAAATCTGTAAAAACTAAAACTAGAAATCAAGTTTTAGGTAACGATATAGGCTATACAATGATATTTACTTTTAAGCAGCACCATTTTTTAAAACTCAAGAGCTGAAAATCAAACAAAAGGTGGATCTATATCTACGACAATATATTCAATTGAACAAATTTTGAATTTACATACATCTGGCTTGCTAACAAAATCCTTGTTGGCGGTGTATAGTATGTATTATGCACCAATAACGTACGCATGAATAATGTCTCCTTTTTTTTTGTAAAACTTAGTAAAAAAGGCCAACTGAAGTGTTAAATGAATCCCAGACATTGTAAACAGAGTCCGTTGGGGTCGGATTAATTAGCGCTCCACAACACCAAAGTATAAACGGTTACACAGACTTTACAGAACATATTTTCTCTTCTCTTTTTATTCATGTACGAGTGAAAAATTGTCAGCAAATAAAACAACAATGTTATCATAAAAAAGCTGTTCACTTTGTTTTTATCGCTATAGTAAATTGTACAGTGAATATATAAAAACGACTAGGCTGTAAGTTGGGCAAATGTAAGCGCATTTTATTTTAATTATATAATTTTTAGTTATAATGCTAATACTATCTTGAAAAATACAAAAAAAAAAAAAGGCATTTTGATTAATAGCATTTAATGGAATTCTGTATCCATTAATAATAAAAATTAAAAAATGCTATTTCCCCGTCACCCAAATATACATGCTATATCTATCTTATAAAAAAGGAAAGTCGTAAGCGTTGAAACTTGATAAAAGAACAAGTTTTAAAAAATCAAATTACAGTTTCTTGAGAGGGATTGCGATTTGTTATTTAACAGTTCAGATTTTAACAAAAAATAAGACATTTTGTTAATAAGATTTTTAATAACTTGTAATGATGCATTATAATTTTTAAGAAATAATTAATACACATTTAAACGTTCTCAGTGAAGATGATTTGTTTTGACTTAATAATTTTTACCATTAAATAAATAGCGAACAACGAATGTATAATATAGTGTATAGTAAATAGAGTAAAGTATTTAACATATACAATTCTTGATATCCTATTTATAGACATTTTATTGAGAATTTATTATTATACTACTAACATATAATAGTAATACATTAAAAATAATTACTGTAATTTTAAACAATTAAGAATTATAATAGGAGTTTAGTATTTAGAAACAACACTCAGAGCTTGCTCACAAGTACATATTTTATAATTTTATAAAAACTACTATACCCGAATGTGTTAAAGCTTCATGGATTGAACAGTTAGCTCTTTTGGCGCTTCCCTTTCTGCTATTCTGTTGTTCAACATTGATCGGTTGATTTGTTTTTTTCTTTATCCTGTCGTTTAATTGGTTTTCACGTACTTCTAATTTTCCAAACATCGTTTCTAATGAAATTTTCTGGGCATTTTCAAATTGTTTATGAATGTTCAGAAAAGCAATAGAAATTAAAAAATACCGAAAAAATCAGAGAAGATTGGAAAATCAGTAATTAAACTATTCAACTGGAAAAATAAAGAAACAAATCAAATCAACGATTCTTAACTATAGAAACAGCCGTTTTCGGAATAAATGAAAATCCCAGATGTAGAAAGGAAAGAACAAAATGCAAAAAAGACCACAGGTCACATTTCAAAAAAATGCACTTATGCATGGAAATTAATACTTGATGATGATTTTAGCTATTTATTTAGTCTGGTCAAAGAAGCCGTTATAACAGATTGGGTCAGGTAGGGTAATTTTAATCAATTAGGATGGCGTAACTGCTACGCTGCTTTAATGTTTATTATTAAAGTAAACATTACATTTTAGTTTTAATTAAACGTTTTAGTCGGTTAGATATTTGTTCGTTATTGCAAAACCGAATAAAGAAACAAAAATTGTCTGTTATTTCTTTAACAAACTCTAATTTACTGTCGTCCTGCTTGTATACAACTACGGACTACCCAAATAGTTGTGTTTGAAAAAATAAATATAGTCCCGTAACTTCTAATTAATAGGATATTGAATGTAACCCATTGGATGCTAAATGACTACTACCACAATGAATATGTCTCGTTCAGTTGGCATCAAGGATGATTGTTTACAATTTAATTAGCTTAATGGCCACTGAATTGAAACCATAAATACCTATTTTTATTCAACTTTATTGTAGATAGCACGATAACGGTTACAATATGTTTCGTATCAATATTACTAGTCAACGCGATAGAAACGGTTGGAATTAAGCCGACAGTGATAAAGCTGGAGAAAATCGGGACTTACTATTAAGACATATACTTTTTTGTTGTGTTTTGCAGTTCACGCGAACAACAGCTATAAACTGAACGACCGGGAAATCATTGATCGTCGGTATCAGCCACATTGTGTAACCCACGCAATTTATCTTATCGTATAGTGCCAAATGGGTAACACAAATACTGCTAGGAGAGGTTCGATATTCTCCAAGCAGGACTCGACGGGCGATGAGGGATCCACTCGACATAGTAAGCGCTTGTCGAGTCGACAGAACACTCTACTCGAAGAGGAAGAGTTCCCGCCGGAACCACCGGCGTTGCCACCACCGGAGCCACTGACCGAGCGCCAAAAAGAATTGCTCACCGAGACTTGGAAACTACTAGAAGAAGATATTGCCAAAGTCGGTGTGATCACGTTTGTCAGGTATGTCTTACGCATTTTTCATTCGGTCAACGTGTAGGTTAGGACCAATAATATTGACTCAAAAACGTGTACTACTCTTTATCTTTTTTGCTCAATACAGCCAACAGCACCGGGAGCTTATGACGTTCACTATAATATTGTATTTTTTAGAGCTTTATGGAATATACTTCCAACACTGCGCCACCCGAATAACTTGCAGTTAAAATGTATTTTTTCATTCTACCTTTTATTTTTATCTGAAAAACCCTAACTGCGTGTTTTAAGAAAACCTATAGTGTCCACTTTCAGGCTTGTGTTAAAGCTAAATATATAATTCCGGAGACGCTGGTAGCGATGACCGTGGGCGTACCCGGTGTATGTATATAAATATAAAATTGTATTGTAAAATTATAGAATAACTTAAAATATTCACAAAATATTTTACAACTTTAATATAAATTAAGAATATTATCGCAAAACGATGGAAGTTTAATTTAGGGTTCCTTAAATGAATATGCTTTTTGCGTGATTTTGGAGCTTGTCATTGACTATGTTGCGTGTTAGCCGAATATTTATTTTTATCAAGCTTTAAGTCGTTTGGTTTATACACAAAACTAAGCACTTTCTCTAACAGACCGATTCTATATGATTTAGATGGATACCCTATAGTGGATCCAGCGTCCACTAATTTATTACAACAATATTTTATTTTATATCATTAATTCCAAAGCAACTGATTAATGTATGTAATTCAAAATAATTTTATTATACTTAATAGTTGTAAAAAAAGACCTTTTAGTCCCAATTTTCAATGAATAATTTTAAAATTGCCTCTTGTTATAATAATTTGAATTTACATTATAAAACTTACACATAATTATACATAAGTAGGTCAAATTAGCTGTTTAAATAAGCAATTTTTATTATTTTGTCATTTGCATAAGAGCTTGAAGAAATAACACATTTTATTATAATTAATACAATAAATATGTTTAGGATTATGTATATGCTATTAAATAAAATAAAAATGGGGCTTATATTCATGTTATATATTTGTTAATAAATTAACTAGCTATTAATTGCTATTTAACATGAATATTATTTTTATTAAACCCCTAAATTAATGTTGATAGCTGCCTTCAGTAATAATTCAGTTCAAACTGAGGACTACTATCGAAGTATCATAGAAATTGATAAAATATTATTACTTTTGTATACCTATAGAAAATCTTATATTCAATACCGACGATCACAATATGATTATTTATGTTAAAATATGATAGATTATGTTGGAAATCCTTAGATCACGTCAAGCCATCAATTATTCACACATAAAAGAACTTATCATAAACATATTCTTTGAAATCATAATAATGTGATAAAACTAAAAACCGTTGAGTAATTTCTGTTTTTATTAGAACTTTTAGTACCTATAGCATAATATAATATATACATATTAATTAATTTTAAACACACCTTGTTGTATTTAACTAGATACCGTTTACATTTTACAATACTACCTAAATTATGTTAGTTTACATTTGAATAGCACTCAAAATAATTTGCAATTGTACAACTATACTTTCAAAACGTTGAACTGTACTTTATGTACACGTTTCCCGCAGTTCTGGATTGTATTTCATTATACAGTTTAGCGAGTTAATTTTTTACAATGAATTTTTGTACTTAGGCGATATACATGAAAAATATACATCATATTACATACCATATTAATATACAACGTACATCACTGGCATTCATAGGACTTTGATTAATATCTCATATTGTTGTACCAACATAGGTTTTAACATTGATTAACGATTAACTGTGTTTGTATATTGTGTGACGTTCTCTTTCATTTTTCCAACGTTTAATCATTTTACTCAATGCAATTTTAAAATATTTATCATATTTTCGAGTAACGTGGGTACTATAATATTCGTATTTTATTTATTTTGAAAGTATTTAATTCTTCCAAGTTTAAACTTCCAACATCAGTGGTGGTTATAATATAATAATATCGCATTTTGTATTAAATATAACAATGATCACTAGAGTAGGTACAATTAAACAACAAAATTCATTTCGGTTATAAACAAAAGTCGACACGTGCAGTTATTGGTATCAATTATCTATGAAATGTTTAATAGTTCATAATCTGAGTATGGCGTTAAGAGAGTGTGATTTATCAGAATTACAATATATTATAATTCTATGTACTTAACTGGTAAATAAGATACATAATATTTTTTATACCTATAGCCTGATTGTCCATAATAATATATTAATGCATAGTGGTCGGGTCAGTTTAGTTTTATGTCGGGGTATCCAAAATATTACTACCGTTTGTTTAAATGTACCTATACGGCGTTGAAGAGCTGCAAAAATAGATTATATCTAAATTGCCAAAGTTTTGTGAGTTATTATATTGTTCGTTTAGTTTCATTATGCTAATATTATTTAATAAATAATACCATACTCTCGTAATAATTCATATTGTAATCGTATGTGGATAAAATATTATCTATTGGGTTCGTCGAAAATTCAACACATATATAATATCAAACGTTGGTAATAATTAGGTACATATACATTTCGTTCAAACACATTCTCGCAAAATATCATGTATGTGTATTTACAATATTTACATTTTCTCTATTGTCCGTATAATAACAATTATTATTTTTAACGTAATATCCGTTTGTGTTGTGTATTTAAAAACGGTACGATACTCTGAATATTCATCCAGATGTTAATGAATCAGACTATATGATAAAAAAAGACCCGCAAACAAATGTCAACAATTTTTTTTTGTGGTAACATCTTTAACATATGCATTATATTAATGTACTTTTAGACCATTATAAAAAAAAATAGTAACAAATTATAAATAACATTGTCTTTATGCTAAGTTCACATTTAACAAAAAATCAAAAATATCTCAAATAACATTAAAATAACTATAAGTAAATAGAATGTTGTAAAGAACAAGTAGCCTTTCGAAGTAAAGTAAACGAGAATATTTTAGTAAAAGTGAAATTAAAAAGTTGAAAAATTTGAGAAAACTAATGTGGGTAGAAAATAAAAGAAAGAACATTATACAGTCACAGTGACAAAATAAAAATGCTGTAATATGAGGGGATACAAACCATTCCTGGCAGGTCAAATATTTGAATTTTATTGTATAGAATCTTAGCACCTCAACTAGTTTAAAATCGTGTCTTAATTTTTAAATACAATCAAAAATGCGAAATTTCAAATTATCTTTTGTGTTTAAATAACATTAATTCTAAGACTGGTACTGAATTTGGTGAAGAAAATTAAATTAAAAAAACTGTATTTAAAATTTGGGTGTACATTTTGGTTCTTGTTAAAAAAAAAAAAAGGTTTTTTTGTTGTACATTTTTATCATATTTTGTTTTCTTAGTTTTCTTACTTAATAAAAGCGTGTTTAAAAAGATAAGTCAAGGGAACCCCTCCTCGTCTGATTTTCAGAAAGTAAATTTTATACACCATTATTAAAATTAGAATAATATAAATTTTGTTTAAGATTTTTGGTTTTAAAAAGTCTATTTAAAAGGTCTATGCGGGGCCACTTGTTCTTTTGAATAATACAATTACTGAAATCAAAATGCTTTACGAGGCGTCATGGTTTTTCTCGCAAAGTCCTTTTTCGTTACTATCGGGTAATGAAATATTTTTCTTCTGGAGATACGTCAGACGATTTGACCCGTACAAATGACGGCAAACGCTCATCGTTTTGAGAGCTATCAGTTAATGTTGAATTCGGTAACAAAATCTAAAAACACCTGCGAAGTTTTCATGAGTATTTTTAAAAACGCTAAATCATTTCGTTCAAGTTGTGAAAAAGTTTTACTCGGGAAGTCATTTCTTATAAATGCGCTACGCAGATATCGAAAAAATCTCCTTGTTGACTTATGTATATATATATATATATATTTTCTAGTAGTTTAAGGGCATAAATCTAATGCAATAGGCACATAAATCAACCGACAGCTCCTGAAAACTGCGGACGGTACGTAGTGTGCTAGTATTATGAGATTGAATTCCTAAACGGGTTATTACTATTATTTTTTTATCTATTACTACAATAGTTATATTTTGACATTTAGTCTTTTACAATTATTGATTTTCTTTTAATTGTAACATGTCAAATTATGATTCGAAGTTTTCAAAATAATAGTTACCCAATTTAGGGGCTTTCTTAAAACTGGAAATAGTGTCAACATGTTCTCAAGTGTTACCGACCGGCAACAACTTTGAGCTGACGCCTTTATTGCTGTCATTATGCAGACAATATCATCCATTTTCTCGGTGTAGTGGCTCGAAATGTCTACCGAGTCGGATCGTTTGAAACATTACCATGTCATTTACACCTAGGTTATAATAATATGTGGTAATATCGTATGCGATACAGTCGAACATATTAATGATACAACTTGACAATGCTCATTACTCTTGACAATTTTTAAAGACGTTTATTGCAATAAACAATAAAGGCAGCACAACTGCACTGTAATCACTGTTCTACGAAATAACTAGTCGAAAAATAATTATTTGATCTTCATCATTCTGTCGAAAGACACGAGATGGACCGCACTCATATTGAGCGAGACAGAAAACTAAAATTGACACGATGTGTCTATTTGGTTTTTTAAATCGTAGAAAGACAATTAAAATTTACACTAAAGTGAGAGTAAAAGAGAATAAAAAACAAATGATCGAAAGAATTTGCTCTAAGACATTTGAAACAATTTCTGTTGTAAAACGTATACAATATTGGAAGCATACAATTCATTCGTTCGTTACCAGACAACTACAGCACAATATAAATGAGTTGGTAATTACTTCCCAATAAGTTTAGTTAACTTGAAAGATAATTTTGAACTTAAATAGCATATTTATAACGCTAAATACTTATTCGTTACTTCTCAATATTATTAATAACCGTATTAATTGTTTTATTAAAAAAATAAATATGTAAAATTGGAATTTGAAAA